TGGGCAGGATTTGAACCAAAAATGTAACATTGATAAATACCAGTAGAATGTACTTCCATAGAGACTAAGGAGAGAGAAGGTAAATGGGGAGTTAAAGAGAGAGACTAGAAGTATCTCAGAAATACTGGAGAGGGATGAAGGCAGGAGGCAGCAAAGAGACATGGATCCCAAGAGAAGCACTGTTTTCAGCTCTGTGTACAAAGAGTGGGAAATCAGCAAATCAGTTACTGAGGTAAGTTTATGCTGAATTACAATGAATATTAAAGTAGCCAGATCATGAGGAAAGAGAGAGAGAGAGAGACAGAAAGAGGCCTCAGAATTAGTCAGGTGTAGACCACCCCTTACAGAAGTTCAGAGGTTACAGAGATTGTTGTAGGACTTTTTTTTTCCTTCTTTTTACTTTCAAAAGAAATGTACTCTGTATATCACTGAAGGCCAGGGAAAGAAACCTAATAAGCAGAAGTGATTTAAATCAGGCATTTCTTGTCAGAAATAAAAATGTCAGTGTCATTTTTGAAAAGCTACTGTTGGAATTCTAAATAAATTCAGCAGTGTCCCATGGGTTTGTTATGTTGAAGGTGGTTTGGAATTAGCAAACATATACATGAAATTTAACATGGCAGAAAATGATAAGATGTGTCTTTGTTAATCCTATGTCTAGTTTACATTAAAGTTCACAAAAATATTAAGATACTATAAAATACAGTGGGAAGGCCTACTTTGACATTGTACACATATATTTCCAAATTGCCTAGTAGTGGGTTAATTCATGGTAAAGGTAGGGCATACACAAACCATCGTGAAACTACATTGGCATCCTGTAGTAACTCACCTTAACAAAGTAGAAATACTGTATTTTTAAGCCATTCAATCCTCAGGCTGACACCTAAAATATCCACAATCTAATCTTTCCTTGATGTTTGCAAACAGGGGATCAGGCCTGTGCACAGCATGGTATGCATATGTGAGAGGAAGGACTGGTCCAGTTCTCTGCTCGTCAGCACTGATCTGCATGCAGAATGCAGTACATCAGTCTGACTGATTGTCCAATTTTGCCCTGTCCAATTTGATGATGCTTCTGTAAATATAAGTCATGATTAAGATACACACTGGCAAATTAAAGCTTCCGACAAAAGTTCAGTGAACTTTCTCACTCCCATGTCACTACCTCACTTGATGTACAGTCAACATCAAATTTGAAAACATACAGACTCAAGACTGAAGTCACTTTGCAACCACTGGATCATACTTCCTAATCAGCAGATAGTTTATGTAGTCAGCTTAACATTAAGTTTCCAAAACACTGCTTATTCTGGGTTCTTAAAAGATGTAGTCTTCCTAGTAACAGCATGTTGCAATACTCTGGTTTCCCTTTATTCTAAAATTAAGCATTTAAATACTTCATCATGAAGAATTTCCTTGTTAGGAGTAACTGGAGCTGGCTGTTTTGAAATAGTCTTTGTTGTAGTCTCTTAGCATTTAGCTTGTCAATACCAGGACCCAGAGAAATAGGATTCTCTTACCAGTTTAACATGGCAATCCATTACAAGGGTGTGTCTATGTTAGACCCATGTCTAGTTAACTCAGGGGAAAGTTAGACATGGGTACATGGGACAGCCATGAACAGACATCACCACTGCAATATGGGGACTCCATTAGGTGAGGACAAGATCATCAAGCTAAGAATTATATAAAAAACACAGTGCTCCAAGCATTATTCTGAATGAGGGCCTGTAGTTTTCCCCACTATAAAGATAGGATGTATAAGCCAGAGAAGACTGGATTTCTCATTAATGGACTGGACCACACAGCTAGTAAGTGGTAAATCCTGGATTTGAACCAAGGCAGTTTGGTTCAGTGCTCATACTCTCTTATTTAGTATAACAGGAAATTTAGTATAACAGGATAAAAGTGGGGAGAAGTGGGGGGAGGGAGAAGCATTTCCTGCTCCCCATGCAGGAAATCGGTTGAGCTTCTGCTCTTAACAATATACTGTATACTCCTTCCAGGAAATTTCTCTGATGTTTAACTCTCTAGCCTGGAAAGACCTTCAGAATAAGAGCAATATTTTTATAAATTTAATGCCTCACAAATCACCTGAACAGGCAAAAGCAGAAATGAAGAAAATGTTTCGATTTGTTGTTATTTGTGAATACTAAATTGTAATTTTATCACTTGTACATTTAACTGAACCATGTTGCTTTCTTTCCCAAATTCTCAAGGTAGCAATGCAAGAGTAAAAACATCACTTGCTTCTGTTTGTTTCTTTTATTGTTTGGTAATAGACAGTTCTTATGCCAGTGGTTTGTATGTTGATTATTTATATCTATGGAATTTTTATTCTGTTTGATTCTAGGTTGATTCTTCTTATTTCTGCATGTTTCTCAGAGAGACTGTGAAGGATCTTCCTTTCTCTGTTTTCAAAGCAGAACCAAAACTAAAAAATAAGAATGCATTCATGGGTAATTTCCAGACCTAACCTATTTTGCATAACATCTGTATTTAATCAGAGACTACAAATTTAGGCAAAGTGATCTAATCATGTTTTGTAAATTCAGTTTGTTTTATTTAAAAGAGAATATCAGGATTGGAGATTTAAAAATGAGTTAATTCTATTTTATGGCTATTCATCCATTCACATTTTCTAATAATGTTGATTGAGAGAGAAAAAGTCTAACAAAAAATTGCAGAAATTTAAATAAATGTTTAATTTACAGACTTTGAAAAATTGTGATCTCAGTCATTGACAATGGTGTTACATGAATAATCTTCATGGTTGGACACACCATATAAGACATCTAAGGATTGTGAAAGCCCAGTACACAGTAGTTTGAATAGTAAATTGTATGCTCATTTTTCCAAACAATAAGCAATTCTCCAATTCCCTGACACAAGTAGGAATTCAATTCAGTTCCAACACAGACTTGTAAGAGTTTGTACAGGTCAAGTTCACGGTTTCTCAAGACTGCTCCCTTTGCCGCTATAACACATAAACACAGTCCCAGCCTACCTGCACTTCTGCCTAGCCAACTGCAAATTTGGGGGTTCCCTTAATTCCCACTCAAGTTCAGTAACTGACTGGAGGGTCTCACAGATGATGAGAAAGTGCTTTACTTGTGGCCACTACTTTATTGTAAAGGATACAGCTGCTGTGGGAAAGAGATGCAGAGAATGAGGCACCAGAGGGCATTCTGGGCTGTCACACCTCTCTGGGTGCTCCACCCCTCCAGCACCAGTGTATTCCCCAACCCAGCTGCTCTCCAACTCCAAACCCTGATCTGAAGGGGGTTTCATTTCATAGACCTCACTGATTAAGTCATTGGCTGCTGATGATGGAACTTACTCTGTACTCCCTGCCCCTCCCAAAAACTGGGAGGTGGGGCTGAAAGTCCACCTTTCTTGTGAGCAGCTCCTGAACCCATCAAGGGGCCCCGCCATGTGTCACTTTTCTAGTATAAACTAAAGTATGGTCAAAGGGGCCTTTTAGGAAAATGCACTCCAATCACTTTGGAAATTCCAAGGGTTATAAGGGCTCTATGCCAGTAACCAGGGCAAGGACCAAATACATACGGTTTTTATTTACACATTTATGTAGACTGATATGCATATTAAAACATTTTGAAATTCAAATTAGATGATCATATAAACAACCCAGACTACTCTATCTATGACTCCTTATAAACATAATTCCCACTTCCAAACAATGTTAGTATTTGATAAGCCTGAAACTTTAAGTCACTGAATTTGACTATACACTCTAGCTTATCTCCACTTAATGTTTTAAAAAGTGTAGTTGCTGCTTTGTTCACAAAACAAAGAAGGATGCTGTTTAAGAGTGTGGCATGAGAGTCTGTCAGCCTGTACTTGAGTTTCTACCCTGCTGTGTGTGTGACCCTGGGCTAAGTCTATAACCTCTCTAAGATTACACTTCTCGTTTGCAAAGTAAAATGATGACATCTACATCACAGGTTATTGTGTGGACAAGTGAGGCTGCCTGGTAAAACTTTTAGCCTGCTGCAGGTTCATAGCCAGCTCTCACTCACTTTGAAGACAATACTTATGTGCATGTGACTGCTGAGTGTCATGGCACTCTGCTCTTCCAGGGCTGTCATTCAGTTTTCCCTCTGAGTCATTTTCAGCCTTTCCTCTGCATGGTTGATGGAATTAGTTGGCTACTTCCCCAGTGAAAAACTGGGGCTGGTGTTTTCTTACAGAGAGAAGGAGGGGAAAGTAAGATCTAGATATTAGTCTTGTTCATCTCTGGTCATTCTGCATAGCACTCGCCAGTGAATCCTTACATGATCCTACATCTCACGTTATTCCTTCCAGTGGTCACTCACTTGCTGGAGAGAGACCTCCCAAACTGCCTCCTACTAAAGATACCACCCCTTGGTATCTTGCTGTACCCCTTGCAGGAACTTTTTCCTTCTAAGATGCTGATACTCTCTCCTGTTTGCCCTCTCTTCCTTTTTGCTCATAATTCTCTCTTCACCTACCTGCCTGGCTCCCTCTCCATCTCTAAGCCAAAGTTGGGCCTTATGAGCCCAAAGCTATTAGCTTGAAGGGAGTTTTATCTCCTTTGACATTTTGCGGGGGAGGGGGGAGGGCAGGTGGAAGAGGGGCAGTACTGGAGTTTGAACTCAGGGCCTCACACTACCAGGCAGGTGCTCTACCACTTGAGCCCCTCTACCAGCCCTCCTCTGACTTCTTTAAGTAATCAGTGTTTCCATTATTTCTATATTGTCTGGTTATTTATTTTCATGGGAAAAAAAAACTATTTGGAGATGTTCTGAACCTTATTTTTGTTTAACCTTTCTTAAACTATTATCTGTTATTATATACTAATCCAAGTAGACTATTAACATTTTTTAAGATCAGGTCCTATATCCTAGATTACCTTAAAATTACCTACATTGATTGGCAGGTGCATTGAATGTAGTAGTGCCTAATACGTTAGAATCAATTCTTTCCTATTTATCTTTTTTTTTTTTAAATCACAGCAGTGATAGGATGCCTCATAAGCAACAAGAACAAAGGTGAGTGACCTATCTCAAACATCATTAACTAAGCCAGATGTCCTCTGAGTTAATGATGTTATTAATTAATAAGAGCCAATGTGTGTTTGTGCGGAATAAGCTCTGTACCTTCTTTGGGCTGTGCTACATGAGGCAGTGTAAATGGAATACCGGTGACCAGAAGTAGGGCAAAGGAGGAAATGTGAATTTGAATGTGACCCCTGTGAAGGATGCTGCTCAACTGTGAGAGTCCTTGTGTGTCTAGAAAGTACAGGAAGGTAGTGGGTCCACTGGGATTTGTCCAGTACTATTGGTGGCCAGCCTGTGATACTTCTAGTTTCCTGGACAGTTTCCACAAGTACCTCGATCTTTGTAGGAACCAACAAGTGATTGGCAGCTCCTACCTTCGCAAGCCAAGTACTGTAATAAGGGCTACGTTTAAGTTCGTAGGTCATGTTCTGGAAGACTTTTCTAGGCTGCCCGTAAGAGGACTACCACCATAGTTTTGATGGCTCAGATGGCTCTGTGGTTCAGAACTGAAGCCACCTCTTGGATACCATTCCCTTTTGTTTTTTTGGTGTCCACTAAAAGAAAAACAAATCAGGATTAATATACACATAGATACGTACACATGAATCCTTTCTTTTAAACACGTACGGATAATGGTTGTATGTAATAACCAGATTGGAGTTTGCTAACAGTTGGGCTTACATTGGAAGTGAACTGTTAAGTTACGTTTTTGTCCTGTAGACACAAAACTGACTTATCTTTAAAATCTAGTTTATGCCATTTTCATTATATTGTTTGCTTCATGCCTGTGAACCAAATAATATAAAGAATTGTTCTGCTGCAAGGAGAAATAGTACTATAACAGCTTTTCGAAAGAATGCTGAATTGGAATAGGTCCAGTTTGAGTTGACAAAATGCCTAAGTTGTATATTTTGTTTGCCTGTTTTTTAAGCCAACATAAAGATTCTCAAAATCAATGAAGCCAAAGACAGCAAAGGCATTGAAGTAATTCCCCACCTACTTCCTACTCTTAGAACATCCCACACCAGATAAGTACAATTTTGTGTTAGATAATAAAATTCTTAGCTCATACTTTCATGTAGAAATTGTGCACATTATTTAATATAATACACATATTCATAATTCAGTTTGATGCATTTTTGAAAAGACTAGTTTAGAAATAATTCCACAATTATAAAATATCTGAGTATTCTTATGCAGAAACATGAAAGCTAATTCATAAATAATTATTGGTATTACTTCCTTCTTACACATAGTTGCATTGAATACAAGTTCTCATGAATATTCAGGCTAGCCCAGATATTATTTTAGTAGATACTACACCTGACCAAATAAAAATAAACAGTGTGATTTCAGTGTTTAAATTAAGGGGGCATTTTTTATTCTCAGTTTTTTATCAACCCAGTGATTAGATGACCATTATAATACCATATATTTGGGGATAAGGGTGTAGCTTAGTGGTAGAGTGTTTGCTTAGCAAGCTTGAGTACTGCAAGCTTGGTTCAAGCCCAGTACTGCAAGGTGTGTGTGTGTGTGTGTGTGTGTGTGTGTGTGTGTGTATTTTAGTATATGTGCTAATAAGCAAGCATTGTATATATGTATGCACATATTTTAAAAACATACAATACACTATTGAATAAATATATTTTAATAATATCTTTGTTTCTCTTTGTACTTAAAATTCTCTCATGAAAAGACATTGATGTTATTTTTAGAAAACTGGCTGGTCTTAAAATACCGTATATAATTAATGTTATATTGTTTTTTTCACTGTTTACTGTAGCTCTTATTCTAGTGCCTTAATACTTAGAGAAGATAGGGTAAATTGCTCTAAAAATATTCTAAAGAATAGTAATATCCACTTCTGCTATATTTCCACAGAAGGGGCAGGTCAGAAAAGGCAAAATTTGGTGCACAATTATAATGTATTCATTAATCCTGACCTCATCTCCCACCATCCACACTTGCTGTGGGTCAGCGACACTGGACGTTCTTCCTCCATTCTCACCTGGCTGGTTGATGCCTACCTCTCAGAGGCCAATCTCAACCTCCCGGTCTGGGTCAATGTGCTCTTTGTTATCCTCCTATGAGGTACTTAGCCTGTGTTAGATGAGGACTGCATTTGTTATGATGCTTGGTTTATTCTGTCCATCTCCCCAACTGAGTCAAGAAAGCAACTCAGGAATGGAGTAGTCAATTGTTTGTGAATTGAAGACTGAGAGCTAACTGCTAGATTTGAAAACACAGAAGCTGTGGATGACTGTGGCAAGGGTGGTTCCTTCAGAGGAGGGCGGATTCAGACTGGGTCAGACTGGGTTCTAGAGGAAATAAGAAGTGAGGAAATAAGGATATAGCTAGAATTAATTTCTGCCACCTAAAACTTACATGTGTTCTACATTATGCATTTAAATAACAAAGCTAATACAGGAAGGGACTTTCACAAATAGTTAAATGGTGAACAAACTATATTACTATGACTGTATTCCTTTTAAGTAGCTGCATGCTTAAGTGCATTCTGCACTTGACAATGGTACATTCTGAGAAATGCATCATTTGATGGTTTTGTTATTGTGTAAATAGCATCGAGTGTACTTAACACAAACCTAGGTGGTATATTCCGTATTCCATACCACACATCCAGGTCATATGGTATTTGCCATTTCATATGCCATCTGTAAAACATCATTGTATAGTGCAGGACTGTATTTAGTCCCTTACCGGTTTTAGTTCACTTTATAGCTACTTCCAGTTTTGAATGTTCTAGAGGGCGTAAATAAGTGCAAAATTGTTCATGAGAGCCCCGGTGCTGACCCATTTTACTGCACCCTCTGGACAAGGATAGAGGGAATATACATGAGTGTGTGAGTACTGGGTAAAAACCTGGAGAACACATCAGACATACCTTTGTTTACGTTCTGACTTCACTGTTCAGTAGCTGGCAAATGACCTACCTTGATCCAACCCTATGGTCTCAGGGTGAAATATTGACAATATGATATGTGGGTAAATTAAGCTAAAGTATCTAAGCTTGGTATGGTGATGAACACCAGCACTCTGGAGGCTGGGCATAAGGATTGAGAGTTCGAGGCTAACCTGGGCTACATAGTGAGTTCTAGACCTTCCTTGGCAACATTCTGTATCAAAAACCAAAACAAAAAGATAAAGTGTCTAAGTATTTCACACAATAGCATGCATATAGTGAGGGTTCAGCAAATGAGAGTAAGCCATATCTTATAAACCATGGTTTTGAGTTCATCTTCTGCATGCGTTCATTTCTCTTTGTTGTTTCCTCACCGTTAGTAAAGATGTGTACGAATAGTATGCAAAATTGCAGGCTCTGGAGAGCACACTTGTAATCCCAGTCATCTGCGAGTGGCTGGATATTTCAGTTCCATCTTCCCATCCCTCCCAATTCCATCAGCACTATTGGTGGTGATAACTAAGGTGTTTACTGCTTCCAGGGTACCTTATAAGCACTGTTCTAAACATTTGATAGTTTGAACTCATTTTAATCTCACAGTCCTAGAAGGCGGGCACCATTGTAGTCACACATTGCCTAACAACAGGGCTGCATTCTGGGAAATGCATTGTTAGGTGATTTCACCATTGCTAACACACATCAGTGGATACTTACATAAATACCGTATACCAGGTGGTACAGGTCTATCACTGATGGGGCCTCTTGATGCAATCAGGAGACTTGGTACATGTGAACTGTCTGAGGCTGCTGCCAGGGGAATATAGTATACTGTGTCAAAAACATATTTTCTAATAAGTAGAAGTATTGCACTCTAAAATAATGATCAAGTCCTTTATGTAAAATGCTGTGGTGTTTGCATATAACCTATGCACATCTTCCTGTTTACTTCAAATACCTCTAGATTATTTATAATACTGAATAAAATGTAAATACTATTCATAAAAAATTAAAATTTTAAAAAGTATAGAATGGTAAATACCTAACCTGGTAACATAGTCATTGTTATCATTATAATTGTTTTCGGAACCATTGTGTACTGTATGTTTATATCACAGTAGTGCAGTGGTTGTGTTGATACCTGTGTCAACATGTGAACAGTGTGTTATGCTAACACGTTATGACGGCTGCATTGTCACTAGATGATAGGGTTTTTATCAGCTCCATTGTAAGCTTTTGAGAGCATTGTCCTATATGTGGCCATCACTGACTAAAACATTGCTTTGTAGCAAATAACTATAGTACCTCCACTTGTACAAATGAGGAAACTGAGATACAGCACATTAAGTAACTTGCCCAAAGATGACACTGTTAGCAAATAGTGAGTGTGGGATTCAGTTCCAGACAGTCTGGTGACAATTAGCACACTGTACTGCTTCCTTCCAGTCATACTTGGGATGGTAAAATTGGCTTTTGAATTGTCACAGCTTTCCTGTGATGCAACTTGTAAGGAGACAAGACCAGTATCTTTGCCCAGCAATTCATTAATAGTCCATAATTGTGTTGAGGATCAAGATTTCACAACCCAACTCCAGCCACCAGCCACTCAGGCAGCCTTCTGAAAACACTGAAAAAGAAAGCAATCGTATTCTCTTAACTATAAACATTAGTCATTAAGGTACAGGATTTGAGAATCAGTTATTTTTGGTGCTTATAACTAGAGAACAAAGAGTCATTTTTATATTATGACATCTAAAAAGTTCTACGTACTTAGCAAGAAAGCTAAATTAAGCGTTGAACTGGGTGGAATTATAAGCATATTCTGGACCCCAGATGAGTAAGTGCGTATAAATAGAATGATGGATACACTGGTATACATGCCCTTCCTGGCATAACTTCCTTTTCTTCTACGTAATGTGAATCACCAAATGTGAGCATTTCCATGTGACATAAGCTATCAGTGTCAGAAGAGCACATTGCAGGATTCAATATGTTACACAACAACCAGGATTCCCCTTCTTCATCCTGGTGGGGTTTTTGTTTTTTGTTTTCTTTCTTTTCATATCCAGCAGTTAGTACTAAGGCCTGAAACCTTTAGTTTTAGAACAAAGTGGCATAGCAGTAATTGAGCCTGTGTGAAGCTCAGAGAAGAATAATGAACGTTCCCTGCAAGCTTCCCGCCTAGATGCAGGTGCAGGAATCAGGAGGTTTTGAATAATGCATGACATGCAGATTAGGTGGTGCTTTCTCCTACTGGGGTTTTGACTTTGCTACCTGCCTGGCTGCTATATGTGGAAAGAAGGCAGATGATATTAAAAGCGTAACAATTTAAAGACCAAGCTCACAAAAATTCTACAGATCCTTTTGAAGAAGTAAAATTTAAGCAGTAGCTGAAGTGCAGTTATCAATATATTCCCTTTGAGGAAGAAAATATTTGATTCATCCTTTCAGTTTAAGAAACCTTACGATTATTTGGTTATACACAATCAGAAGTTCTATTCCTAAAACTGCTAAGCCATTATGAGATTTGCGCATTTGTGGTATTTAATGTATGATCAGTGATTTTTTTCCTAAGAGATGCAAATGCTTACAGAATATTTATTGAGGGTTAAACAGTCCTGCTTTCTCCACCAATGTGTGATGTGTGCAATGAGCAGCATCCATGAGAGAAGAAGCCATCATACACTTCAACCGGTGGAATTTACCACAATGAAAAGAAATCGTTTCCTGGTACTTTCAGTGTTAAGAAGGGCGCGATAGAGGGATGATAGTTGAAAGGACATAGAGTGAATTTAAAACCTGAGTGCTTGGGGCTGATCACTGCTCCACTTATTATCAGCAAGGACTGACACCTGAGCCTGAGGAGGGTAGAGGGGAAGTTCAAGAGGATTTCCTGCATTTTCCTGAGGGCAGGGGCTTTATCTGGGGAGAAATTTTTTGGCTCAAATGTCAGTTTTGAGGATTATATTTCAAGCAGACAGAAAGAAGAAGAAAAAGTAGTTTTGCTACCTTCTGTATTGTCTTTCTCATTTTTATTGCTCTCTCTCTCTCTCTCTCTCTCTCTCTCACACACACACACACACACACACACAGTTTGGGTAGTGGAATATGAGCTGGCTTTGATTTCTAGCTGAGTCTGTCATTTCCGCTAGGCCCCAGTTTGGCCAGATGCCAAGACCAACAGGTGATCCTTGTAACTGCAAAACAGCAGGAAGTGGGCCTTGCTTGAATGAGGCAGTTCACCAGAGGGGCTGGCTGGCCTCCCTCCATCTTTCTGCATAATTAACACCCCCTCCCCCCACGTGGAGCAGAAAATCTGTGCGGAGCAGCTCAGCTGCAGCCACCATTGAGAAGCCTGTGAGGAAAGAATGTTAATAAGGGGTGTTGGAAGAAATCAGCCTTCCCAGTCAAAGTGCACTCTGGCTCCAGGATTGGGGAAAGACTGCAGTTCGCACTCTTGGAAGGGGCTGAACTGTCTTTTGTGTTTGACATGATTTTTTCACTCACTGAGCAGCAATGAGGAACCAGGTCCTCAGAGCTGTTGTTTCTAAGTGGACCTTAAAACCAGATTAAAATCCCTGTTTCCTTCTTTCCTTCCTTCCTTCCTTTCTCCCTCTCTCCTGCCCTCCCTTCCAATAATGTTTGAAGCAGAATAAGATAACACAAGCAGAAAGACTGTGTAGGCCTTCTTAGGATGCAGGAAGTCAGCCACAAGGAAGCGGGAAGTAGTACATTCTTCTTTGCCAAGCTTGTGACTCACAAAGGTGGAGGTCCAGCAGCTAGCTTCTGATTGAGGGACATCAGCTGTTCTTGGAAGCTTTGAACTCCAACCTTGCATGACTTTAGCCCTGAGGCTTGTAGAGTCTTATGGGCTTCACTTACCTGGCTAAAATTTTGAATATGATTTTGCCTTTCTCAAATTCAAATACTGAGCATCATTTCTAGAAGGTCTTTCTCCTAGAAATACCTATTGACCTGTTCTTCCTCTCCCACTCCCATAGGTTTTCCCCCAGATATTCAGACAAAGTTGTCTTGCTCTCTAGGGTTTCAACTCTAGGAGCTGACTGGAGCGGGCACTTCGATGTCTTTGTGAACAGGTGTAAGGAGGGCTCATTGAGAGCAGGCACCATAACCTTTTACCCACTCACATACCTGGCAAGAATTGCATCTTCAGTATCTGTGGAGGACCAAAGGAGTGCTTCAGTTCCTTGAAACTGGTGGTCCTGCCCTAGGGAGCTTCACCATGAACATACGCCAAAACCTTGTGATCTTGAGAGTGATAAACAGGCACACATGTTTGCAGGCCCAGAAATTTAATTGCATCCACTTTCTAAGAGATGATCAAGTTGTCAGGAGTTTGATAGGAAGCAAACCTAAAAGATATTATTTTTAAAGCAGATGCTTTTTTTTTTTTCTCTTTTGTACAAGAAAATCTGCTTTTGCAATGACTGTCTTCCTCTCATCTGCCTACAGGGTACATCCGTCCCCAGTATCAAGGGTCCGAGGAAATCGTGTGAATAATCAGAAATTTGCTTGGTGAGTATGCAGACTCCTCTGGGTATTTGTCAGTTTTGTGGGGCGTTTTAGTAGGAATGTGTTGAAATTGAGAGAATTATTACTGTTGCCCTACAAAGAATACATTTGTGTCCACTAAGTAGACCTTGTGGTGTCCCTTTCTAAATAAATATTTGTGTACTTTCCAGCCAAAACTTCACTTCCCAAAAATTGTAAATGAAACACTTTTTTTCCTAACAAATATGACCTAATTTCCCAGGATTATCAATTGTTGCCTTTTAAAAGAATGTTTCTATTTTTGTAGTAAGATTTGGTCAATAGCTGGTATTTTTTCAGCTACCAACTTTAGCTTCTCATGAAGATTTCCACAGTTAATTTGTCTGTTATGTTAATTTTAGTGATTACTGTTTAGATGATTATTTTCTTTCTTTTTAGCCTTAAATATTTTAGGACTTTTTTTTGGTTTTTTGTGGCACTGAGGTTTGAACTCAGGACCTCCCACTTGCTAGGCAGGCACTGTATCACTGAGCCATTCCATCAGCCTTCTTTGCATTGGTTATTTTAGAAACAGGGTCTCACTTTATGCTGGGACTGGCCTAGACTATAATCATCCTATTTGGGCTCCCCTGCTTCACTAAGATGAAAGGCATGCCACCGTGCCCAGCCATCGGTTGAGATGGGGTCTCTTGAACTTTTTGCTTGAGCTGGCCTTGAACTGTGATCCTCCAGATCTTAGTTTCCCCTGTAGGTAGGATGGCAAGTATGAGCTACCACACACAACTGATTAAGATCTTTTTTAACTAGTTCTTAAACAAACATATAAATGGAACTTACCAGAAATGACCTGAAAAGTTATTTTAACCACAAACCATTTGGTTATTGATTCTCTGAGGAGACAACTTAAAGGGTTTCACAAATGTTTTATTTATAAATTGGTTCAAAATCCATATTTATTTACATTACTCCATTCCACAGAGTTAGCCTTTTTAACAAATAATGTTTCATAAAAATAAAAGGAAAGGAAGAAATGAAAAAGAAAGAAGTTGTGAAAATTCACAAATCTCCATTATATTTCCTTGGATTGTGCTTAGAATGGGGTTTTGATTAGAAACTATGGTTGTTTTTTTTTTTCTTAAGTATGGGAAGATGATTACCAAAGATTGAGCTTCCAAATTAATTTTATACTTAAATCAGGATTATTTTTAGACACAAAATAATGACACTTTGAATTTGAATGGTACCTAATCAGCTCCCCCACTTCCCCCACTAAATCTAATTAACCCTCACAATAGCTTGCTGATGTCGTTAAATATTATGCTTTTCTTTTCCACAGAGGGGGAAATGGAGCACAGAGGATACAGCCATTTGCTTACACACTGCCTAAAAGCAGGGCATCCTTCATGGTCTGTCACAATAACCAAAGCATATTGTCGCTGGTCAGACCTGGAAAGCTGAGAAAATAGTAATGCTGACAGTTACTACATAAAAGGGAAGGGAGAACTCGGGTCCCTTTTGGGCTGCGTGGAATTTTTAATCCTGCTCGGCACAGGGCATGTTGTACTGAAGAAATGTCATTCCTTGTAGAGAATGAAAGCTGCTCAAGTGAGCAGTGTGAGCCGGGGTATCAAGAAAAAAATCGTCTGTCCCAGACCCAGTTTCTGCCACTTGGCTTCCAATGGCTTAATGTGAAAAGCTGAGGAAATAACAGATTTTCTTTTCTTCTCTTTTCCTTTCTGCACAATTGGAGTAATGATAACGTGTTCCTGCATAATTCATAGCATGTCATTTGATTAGTAAGTTTTTATCTCCAGTAAAATAGTCCATGAAAAGTAAAAAAGGGCTTTACTACTAGCCTTGAGAAAATTCAACTTTTATTTATTTAGCATTTATTTACAGTTGCAGGCACTGTTAAAAGCACTAGATGAGAAAAATAAGTAAAACATGGTTTCTATCCTCAAGGGGCTAACTGGCTTGTAGGGGTGGCGAGTGTGTGTGTGAAGGTAGAGAGAAACATCTCCTCCCTTGATGTATGCACAGATGGCATACTTGCCTGTGTATCGTGTGAGAAGCGTAAAGAATATAATACAGTGGCAGTAATATTCTTAGGAAATGTATTTATAGTGCAGTGTTCAGAGAGGGAAATTACTGACTATATTTAAGACCGGTTTTAGAGTTTAGTAGAGAAGTGGAAAATATAAAGGAAGGAAGAAACTGAGAAAAATCCATTCCAGAGAAGAAAGCTTTTGAGTAAAGTCCCAGAATTAGGGAAAGCAAAGAGTTGTTCTAATGTGTCTTCTATAGATTGAATCAGAGATACAAAGAGTTGGAGACATTTCTAAATTGACCTTAGCAAGAATGTATACAGATTTAGTACATACTTTATTTGGTCAGGAATTAGCTAAAATTTCTATTACATATACTACCTTGAATCTTCCTTAGATAAATACCGTGACTATGGTAAATAGAAATAAATCACCTGGCTAGGAAGAAGCCCCATAAATCACCTAGCATCTGCTTCTAGTGAAGTGATAAACACTTGATTTTTTTTTTTGTGAAATATTGGCTCTGGAAATTTCAGAAAATTAAAATACTCATTTAGCAGTAGAGAGGAAGGTAAAGGGGTAGTTGCTTTCCTCAAACTAGAAGTTGCAGATAATTTACTGAATTAACTGTCAAGTTCATAACCAGCTTGCCTGTGTCTTGAGTTAGATCCTTAAATACTATACTTGAGAGTTAGGAATGATGATTTGTGATGTTGGGTTAGTAAAGTGGTCCAATCAGTTAAAACTCTTCATCAACTAAGCAATTCCAATTCAGCAAAAGATGAAAAGACTTGAATTTTCACTGTGAAATTTTACATAGAGCCCACATGACTTTTGGAAGGCTCTGGAAGTCAGTGGCTGTGGTTGACAACGTTTATCATTGAGTAAAGAAAGTTTAAATTTAAGTAGTGTTTTTCTTTTCATACTGTTGATCTGAGAGGTGACATCCGCTGACCTCTTTCATGTGGTGACATTTCTTCTGGAGCTGAAGAAATGTGTGGACAAGAATGTCTGTTCAAGACAAAGAAAATCTGCTCGAACAGAGAGAAAATGTGCTAAAGGTGCACATATCCAAGGAAGAGATGAGAATCCCCAGGCTTATGGGGTCCAATGACAGGTGTTAGAATGCAGCAGGTTTGAGTTACGGGCTAACTCCCAGAAGGGCAATAAGAACTTCTTTCAGGGTATATTAGTGCCCCGGTAAAGAATGCCATGTCATTGTGTGACTCATTTAGAATAGAATTTACCAAAGGTAGTAGTCAGTCCAGATATAAACTCTGCCCATGAGAATATGCCCCTCCACTTAGTGCCACCACACTGTGTAAATATTTGTTGATTAGACCAGTGGTGACCCTTTGGGTCATAGAGAATTACCTTCTCCATGTCGTACATCAGATCTCTCCACCTTCTTTCACCACTGGCCCTATGTGGAGGTGACCACATGTTCCTTTGTTCAGTAACTGTTGTAAGGAAGAGAAAAAAATCTTTTCCTTCTATCCATTTTAGGTACATTGGTTGGGGCCCTGTGTGGTAGACTGATAAAAGACAGGTTAACAAGAGAAAAGAGAAGAGAAGTTTATGAACACATGCATTGTCCAAGCCCAGGGGAAGCCATGCCCCAAGAAGAATAACTTGGACAGGCAGTTAGAATTTAGGCTAGTATGGCAACATGACAAACCAACAATAACTTTTTAGAGAAGTGACAAGACAAAGAAAAGGATTTTGTACTCCTAGGGAAAGCAAATTATGGGAAGGCAAAAATATGAAAAAACTAATGGAAGATGAGGGCTAGTTTGTAAGATTTGTTGTGTATATTTCTCAATGAGCAACATTGATTAAGATGAATAAAGATGGCACTGTCGGGGTGGCGGGGGGCAGGCCACAGTGGTTCACATCTGTAATCACAGCTGTAGAGTGCTTGTCTAACAAGCATATGAGGCCCTGGGTTCAATCCCGAGTACAAAAAAAAAGACCCTATCCTTTCTGATGAAAAGGGGGAGAGCAGAATTTTTTTCTCTGTTCATTTGAGTTGCCTTCAGTTTCTAATAACTCTTATACCAAACTGATATATTGGGGTGGCATATTCTGCTACCTTTCACTAAATAACCTTTTTTATTTGTTTATTGCTTGAGGGGGTGTTTTGTTTTTAGAGGGTCTACTACTCTTTGTTAGATATAATAAGTGCTTTGCTTCATTTGGGGAAAATTCCTTACTAGAGAGTGGAGTGTGAAGATAGACATTTTTTCCTTACAGATCTTTTGCTTAGTTATTACATTCTGATACCAAACTCATAAGAGAGTGGTCCTTTCCAAGTCTCATTTCTGTGTTTTATTCTAAAGGATATAAGAGAAATTGGGAGTGTGTTTTGGTGGTATGTTAGGCTGGAGCAGGATGAAAAGGGGTTTGGTGAGGAGCTTCTATGAATTGGACACTGAAATTGATTTAAGGCTCTAGAAACTTCTGGATCAGTACAAGCATCCACCATGCACATCTGTGTATTTTACTCTTTGCTTTCACCTCCGTGCTTCTCACTCCAAACTTGTAAGTTTAAAGGACTTGGGCATTAATGGCTGTTTGGTGGTGGTGGTGATGGTGGTAGTAGTGGTTGTGTAGTATCCCCAAAACCTGCCAAGACCTGCTACCGAACAGTGACAGTGGGTATCATGCAGTAGAGACTTTATGGGCTATTTTTATGGTGACATAGAGTATAAAGCAGTTCTGCTATTAATAGAATTGACATCAGTAAAACAGAAGTAATTTTCTCTAACCAAGTGGATTGTGCTCTACCATGATTGGTTAGGATTTATTTCTCACCAACAGGCCTGAGATTTTATATAGTCATGGACACAAAGTTTTAATAGAGTCTCTATGCAAATTATATATTCTGATGTAAATCACATTTAACACTCTGATGTGTAAAAGTCACAAATTTCTGTAAAGGTCAGGAGGTGCCTTTCCACCCTTTGATGTTTTAGTGTT